CCCTTACTAGGGACCTTATCAGCAGCTAAAAAATTTGTATTATGACTCTTTTGTAAATATTTTAATTAGTTTTATTTTTTTTTTTTTTTTTGCCTTGATCATTTACAGTTCTTGTGTCCATACATATAGTCTTTTTTACAAAGTCATACATTTCAAAAAAATTTAACATATTACAATATAATTTGATCCTAAAACACCTTATCTTGTCACACGTGTTCAAATACTGATTCTATCTAGACTAATGTTTAATAATCTAGGTATCTTCAGTATTATGATGTCTTCTATTTATGTGTCCTGTTATAATAATTGAATTTTAAAATTTCATTATAGATGTTGTTTAGATTGTTCGTGTCTGTCCTATGGGTTACTGTATTGTTCTTCGTTATGTTGTACAATTCGCTTATGTTCCTTTTGTACCAGTTGTCTTCTCTATCTAAAATAGCTGTATCTTCAAATTTAAACTCGTGTCTTGTTTTAAAATGGTGTTTAACTACCAAAGTAGTATTACTTTTTTGAACATTCGTAGGTTTACAATCATTCCTATGTTGTTCTATTTTTTTTTTTAATTTTTTTTTGGTTTGCTCTATGTAACGTTTGTCACATTCACATGGTATTTTGTTAACTAAGTTTGATTGTTTTAGTTTATCAACCTTGTCCTTTATTTCTGTAAATATTGAATTTATTTTAACTAGAGTATAAAATACTAGTTTCACATTATTTTTTTTTAAAATATTTATTTATTTTATTCGACAAAAATTTTATAAACGGGAACTTAATTATTTTTTTGCTGTTCTGTTTTTTTTTCTAAACTTTATCTATTTTAAACTTATTAAACACCATGTGTATGAGACTCTTTAAGTATTTATTATTTTTTAAGATAAGTTCTGTTCTTTTCTTATTTTCGAAATGGAATTTTTTACTACTTAATGTCAGTGCTCTAAATAATAAACCTTTAATTACCCTAATTTTTTTGCTCATTGGATTATTCGAATTATAATTTCTACATCTACCAGAGCTTGTAGGTTTAACATACCAGTTCGTTACAATGGAATCGTCTTTGTTTCTTATAATATTCATATCTAGGAAGAATAAGGTTCTATTATTCTCTAACTCCATTGTGAATTGGATCTTATTATTGACACTATTGAAGGTCTTTAGTGTTTGGTCCATTCCATCTGTAGGTATTGCTTTGACAACGTTATCAACATAAACCTTCAGGAAAGGAACAAGAAAGGGTGACCTGCCTTTAATTTTTTTTAAGATATAATTCATCACTGGATTAGCTCGCACTGGGCTCGCTGGATTACCTATTCTAGAGCTATCCATTTGTAGGTAGAAGGACCCGTTGAACTGAAAGTAGCTCGATTCTATACAAAATTGTACTAGTTTAACCAAGATATTCTTTGGGACTTTTATAAATTTTGCAAGTTCTTTTTAATTCTCATTAATTGTTTTTAATACTAGTTCTTTTAAAATGTTTGCAAAAAGGGAGATTACATCCAATGATACAAGTATGCACCCTTTTGGAAATTTTATATCTTCTATAAACTCTGCAAACTTAAACGAATTTTTGTTGGAAAAAACAAGTTCGTTTAAGGTAGATTTTGTTAACGTCTGATGAAAAAATTTTGCTATTTTATAGCACGGTGACCTTATGAAACTCACACCCGGCTTAAAGCACATTCCTTTTTGTGAGGTTTTTTTAATACATACAGTTTTGGCGCGACTGAATTATAAGATCTCAGGTTTTTTTCCATTTCTTTTGAGATGATGGATTCATTTTGTAATTTGATTATTAAATTATTCGCTAATTTTTTAAATTCGTGGGTAGGATTCTTGCTTAATATACTGTATGTGTTTCTATCTTCTAAGAGTTTTTTTAGTTCTTTGATGTATTCCTCCTTTTTCATGATAACTGTGTTGTTTCCTTTATCTGGTCTTGTTATCATTAAGTTCGGATTCTGTTTCAAGAAATGTGTTGTTGTTAGATAGTCTTCTTTTGTTTCATTCTTCCACAGTTCTTGGTTTTTATATTTTGGTATTTATTTAAATCATCAAATCCCGTTCCATTTGAATAAAAGTAATTAACACATTGTATCTTTTTCTATTTAAATAAAAGTACTTAACTCATGAAATTTTGTTTTTATTTAAATAAAAGTACTTAACTCATCAAATCTTTTTTTATTTGATGAATAGTACTCTACTCACCAAATCTCTTGCTATTTGAATGTTAG